AAAAAAAATCCATTACCTGATCTATTATCCCTAGGAACTGATTTAGAAAGTACTCTACAAAAGAAAGCAGACAAGAGATTTGAAAAAAGTTACCCTAATCCTCACTATACACACACACATACACTCAAATAAGGAAGAGGAGAGTAGCAAAAGAGAGCAAAGCAATAGTAAGTGAGGCTCTCAAAATAGAAGAAACAGCCTAATTCTTTTTCAAATGTAAATGCAATTCTCAGTAGCATTCAGTTCTTGCTTCCAAGGTGTCAATTGCATAAAACTGTGTAAGGTGTGCATATGCACATGTTTTGAGATAAGACTAACAATTTAAAAATATACAGTATAGAAATCACTTTTTGCTAGATAATAAAAATAAAAATACTAATATAATAAAGAGGATATCAATTTCTAGCTCCAGATTCTCAATTTCCAGAGAGAAACCATTTAAAAGATAACTTCTACCCCAAAATAAAAAAAGATACTCTTTATTCCCAGTTTTTACACATCAAAAATAATTTTAAGCAATAATAACTTAATCCTATTATCACTATAAATAATTTGTGTGATACTTTGTCATTTAGTTTAGCGTACCTGTTAACATGCTTTCATTTACAATGCAAGTACCATTAATGAGTACTGCATCACAAGGCATGACTGTCCCATTTAATGGAATCACCATGACATCTCCTGGCACAAGCTCTGTAGAGAAGATCTCTTCTATTTCTGAATTCAAAGAAAAAGGAAAAAAATATAAGAAAAGAAAATTCTGTAACTTGGAATAAAAAAGCAAAAGAGCTAACTAAAGGACACTTGATCTCAACAATGACATAATAAAATGGGTTATAAACATAAATACTCCATAAATGAAGCATTTCCACAAATGATATTATTACTCCTTAGGAAGAAAAGACATGCTTGCCCAAGTATATCAGCTAGTTTCGAAATGGGAGTACTGAGGTTTTAGCTTATCCTAAAATAAGATGAAATCTGAACAGACATCTTAGAGCAGGAGCTATAGTTAAAGTTTAACTCCCTCCCTAGCTTTATTCCATAATTAATCACTCCCATTCAATTTCCAAAGCAGACTTGTGGCTTGAGCAGGGAATCTGTTCTGGGGAACAAAGGTGAAATTAGCAAACAGGAATGGTTGAAAGAGACACTAAGTTTGAAACTCAGCTACAAACAATACAATAATGTCTGACTACGATTCCCATGATCCTGATTTTTTCTCTCCCTTTAAAAAAACGCCTAAGAGACTTACCAGTAGGGAAGACAAACCTGGGAGATTCCCACCACCCATCCTCATGGACATCGACACTCAATAAACACTTTGCTCTTGCCTCTGAGCCCTGCACTGGCTTTAATAGTGGCGGGTGGCAGAAATCCCTATGCCATTACAAACTGTCTCCTAATAGGACTTCAAACGAGCACAGGTGATGCCAAATTTTCCCTGTCTAAACAGCTGGTGTTACTCTTATGGTTTACAGTACAATTTTAGCTATTAGTCATCTTAGCATCTGTCCATTCTATCTGACTCTGTCTCTCACTCTCTTGTACTTTTTCTTTCATCCCTTTAATGACGTTTGAAAACAGAGATGTGTAAGAAAAGCAAACTTTTCTAAAAAAGGAAGAATTTACTAAGCCATGAGAAAACAACTTTTTAAAAATTTAAATTCTAAAGGTATTTATTATATGGTGGTGGTGGTTGTGGGTCATTGTGCTAGTTCTGACTCCTAGTGATCCTATATAGGGTCTCCAAGCCTATAAATCTTTACGGAAGCAGAAAGTCATATCTTTCTCTTGCAGACTATCTGGTGAATTCAAACTGCTGACCTTGTGGTTATCAGCCCAACACATAACCCGCTACTCTACCAGAGCACCTTATTTATTACATAGTAGGCGTAATAATAGAGTCCTGGTGTGGCGCTGTGGGTTAATGCTCTGGACTGCTAAGTCGGTTTGAAGCACAAGGTTGGCAATTCAAGCACACCAGCCATTCCTCAGAAACTATACAGGGTTACTATGAGTCAGAACTGACTTAATGGCACCTAACAATAAGAGATAATAATAATTTATTCAATCCCTTATTTAAAATCTTGACTCTTTTTAAGTCTGTTGTCTTTAGTTGTGCCAGGAAACAAAACGTAAGTGCTATGTTAGCATATACAAAGGAGATACGGAAGATATATGGTGAATGGTGTCTGTCCTGTTGTTAAGTGTTGGTGTTCGAACACCCCGGTATCTTCAGCAGCAGCAGAGGGGAAAAGAAAAGGAGTGTTAATAAGCTCCATCTCTAACACTAGGTGCAGGAAAGCAGCTTCTTACCGCTAGCGTGAAACTGAAAAGGAAGCAACACACTAGGACTATTTGGATTTATACTTGAATGTATTCTAATAAGCCAAAGGAATGGAGATGTATTTGGTATTCTGATAAACACAACTTTATACATTCTAATAAATCAGATTGGCTACTGCCTCCAAAGCCCATGAGGCTTGTGATGCCTTTTGTTATCTCTCTTTTTCCACTTTAATCTCACCACAAAAATGAACAACTCCTCTCCATAATACCCACCTTGATCCAGGTCATGCCCAAAGCTCACTAAACCACTTTAAACATGGCAGGCCGAATGAATGGCAAATACACTATCATTCCCCTGTTTAAAATTCTTCAATGGCTTTCTGCCATCTTTTGAACTGAGTCCACATTCCTAATGCGTTAGAAGACCTGCTATCATAGTAGCTGTATCTGCCAACAATTAATCTCACTTAATTATCCCAATTAAGAGACTGCACTCTGATCTAGGCTTTGGACATGTACAGAACTCATCCCTGTCTTACCTTGTCTTACCTGGCTAAGTCAAACAGTCATTACATATACTTTTTCAAGAAGCCCTATCCTTGATACCTATAGTACATGGGCTCTCCCTGCCATATCAGTTCTCTTACCTCTCCCTATCAGAGAATTTGCCACACTTGTGGCACTGTATGATAAGTACTGAACTGCTAACTGCAAAATCAGTGGTTCGAGTCTTAGAAACCCTATTCAGGGTCACTATGAGTAGGAACAGGCTTGACAGCATAACAACATTGCTACTGTATATTTATCACCTGTCTTCCAATGAGTCTGAAGCTCAAATAAGGCAGGGCTATGGCTATCTTGGTAGCCACTAACTACATACCCAGGGCCTACCATAGGACCTATCATACTGTAGAAAAAGAAAAATGCAATTATTACATAAATAAATGAATCTGGTACAAACTCAGAGATTAATACAAATCCAAGTACAAATTTCTACTTCTTTAAACAAACAAAAGTGACTAGTTTATGTCATGGAATTAAACAAAACTGCACACAGAAATTATTGAAATAGCAAATATTCTCTTACATATAGTATTCTACTGTTTAAAAATCCTATTAAAACTCTAATCATATCTGTATAATACACTGAGTATACTTCCCACGTTAGTACTAGATCCCTTTTTTTGGTTTATTCTTCCGACAGTCACCTGAAGCACTTACCTTCATTGACTCTGCAAACTGAAACTCTCACAGTACTGTGAGCTGCCACCATATCATGCAACATAATATATTGCTGAAAGAGGAAAAATAAAAACTAGCTAAGAAAAATCTACACTTAGCAAAGACGAGGCAAGATATTTTTCAAAAGCAGAGGTGCTATAAAATAAGGCTAATACAATAAATATATGTTGTTATTAAGTGCCACTGAGTCAGTTCCAACTGATAACCCTGTGCAAGAGTCCCGAGGTACAGCTGGTGGATTTGAACTGCCAACCTTGTGGTTCACAGTCCAATGCTCATCCTACAGTGCCACACCAGGAGTCCAAATATATATTGCTCTCCCTTTATAAAATACCAAAATTTCAACAAAGTTCAAGATGAGAGAAGCACTCCTGACAACAGCAGAACCAGCTCACCAGTATTCTAAATGGAGACCAACAACCAGAGATGCCAATGGCTACTCAAGCACCCAAGTAGTGGTCTGATTCTAAAATGCACTTTCTATCCTCTAAGCCCCCCCAAAAAGCAAAAAATAAATAAATGACCCCAAAACAGGGATTGGGGGCACATGGAGTGCTATGTTAGCGTAGTATATTTTGTTCACGTAACAAAAATAGTAATAGCTGACATTTATTGCATGCTTGCTCCGCTGTTGTGTGCCCTCAAGTAGTTTCCAACTCACAGTGACCCTGAGTTTTTAAGACTGTTAATCTTTATGGGTATAGAAAGTCTCATCTTTCTCCCATGGAGCAACTAGTGGATTTAAACTGGTGACCTTGTGGGTACGAGCCCAACGCATAAGCCATTATGCTATCAGGATTCCTTATTGCGTATTAGGTTTTAACTTTGTACCACATATAAATTACAGACCTTACATGTATTACAAAATGCAAATACTATTTTAATCACAATTGCAAAACCCATTAATAAATTAGACTTACCTTTCTGATGGAATATAGTGAGCTCACAATTGATACTATAGACATAATCACAATAGCTAGAGCATAGTAATAGTATTCATCGGTGCACCATAGAATAACACTGCACAGCTGGAAAACGTAAAATGGGTTGAGAACCTAAAAAACAAGATTTTAAGCAAAAATGAAAGAGACATTTATAGCCATGTAGATGCTCCAATCTTTTCATTTAAGAAGAGATGAAAAAAATAGTTACAGAATAAGTTCTACAATACCTGGGGTAACTTGCACTATCCAAAAGTGTAGGGAAGTGTGTTAGCATAGTACTTGTTAACCATTTCACTACCAGAATCTGGCTAAACAAATAGGATTTAACTTAAATCATTTGTACTAACTCAAATGTAGATTCAGCTAGAAACACCTATATCATATGAATTTAGCTCTTCTGCAGTCTGCTCTGGGCTACTAAAAAATACAAAGCTTCTAATCAAATGTAACAAATGTTTATTTAACATGTTTTCTTGTAAATTAAAGGTCCACTGGACTCCAATGGGAATACGTGAGATAATGTGTTATATATATTGTTTTGCCTTCTCTAAGGAAAAAATTAAAAATTAAGCCCTAAATAAATATATACAGGAAAATCCTGGCAATGGACATAGTTTTGTGGCATTTTACCAATTTCATTGATAATCCCAATGTTTTACAATTAATCAGAAAGAAGTGATTCTAATTTTACATAAAGGAGCAATAAACAGAAATGTTGAGACCAAAGTTAGTTCCTGATGAGACACAACATTATACCACACTATATTATGTTCTTACACAGTACTACAAGGGCAATTTCAGGAACTATCTACTATTTCTACAAGTATTACCCCAACACAACTAACTCTTGATCTTTAGCAAAAAAAAAAAAAAACCAGCAAGAAGATTGGTAAGTCAAATTTTGCAAGGTAAAGCCACTTAGTTCCTTCCTGTGGGCACCCAATTTTTATGCATATCTTTTCTGTGTCAGTTATAATTGGATGAATTTTCCTCCCAGACTAAAAAGTATAAGCATCTTCTAATGGACGGAATTATGTTCCCCCAAAATATCTGTTATAAATCCTAACCTCATGTCTGTGGATATAATCCATTTGTGAATAGACAGTTTATAATGTTAATGAGGCAAGATTACTGTACAGTATACCGTGCATCAATCTCTTCCTGACAGAAAAGAGATTAAACAAGCCAGCAGAGTGAGATAGGGTAAGAGAGATGCCAAAACACATTGAGTTTTCCAAGGAACCAGGAGGGAGAAGCTAAAGAAGCAAGGACCTTCCTCCAGAGCCAACAGAGAAAGCCTTCCTCTTGAGCTGGTGCTCTAAATTCAGACTGCTAGCCTCCTAAACAGTAAAAAAAATTAACTTATGCTTGTTTAAGCCATCCACTTATAGTAATTGTTATAGCAACACTAGATAACTAAGACAGAATTTGGTACTGGGAGAACAGGGCGCCACTCTAAACCACGCCTGTCAAGCTGCCTTCAACACATAGTAATCCTACAGGGCAGATCAGAACTTCTCCATAGGGTTTCTGAGGCTGTAACACTTTACAGACACAGACTGCCTCATCTTGCTCTCTCTCTTCTCATGGAGTAACTAGTGGATTTGAACTGCCAACCTTTTAGTTAGCAGCCCAATACTTAACCCAATGTGTCACCAGGACTCCCTCCTGTTTTCACAGATACCTAAAATGTGAAAGTGATTTTGGAAATGGGTAATGAGTAGAGGTTGGAAGAGTAAAAGTCTAGACTGCCTTGAAGAGACTGTTGGTAGAATTATGGACATCAAAGGCCACTCAGATGACGGCTCATAAGAAAGTATAAAGGGCAATAGAGAAAATGTAGTGTCTCAGAGAATACATATGGTGCCAGCAACAGAACGCTGCTAGAAATATGGATATGAAATGTGCTTCTAGTCAAACTTTAAAAGAAAATGAGATTTCAACTATGGAAGAAAGACGATGCTTTTCATGCAGTGGTAAAGAACTTGTCTTAATTACGTTAAAATGTTTAGTGGAAGATAGAATTAGTAACTGATGAACTTACATACGAGGCTGACGAGATTTCTAAGCAAGATGTTAATGGGGCCACATGGTTTCTCCTTGCCACTTACAGGAAAATATGAGGAAAGAGATTTAAAAATAAACTGTGCAAAATGAAAATAAAACTTACAGATTTGGAAAATTATGTTGTACAAACTAAGGGACATGTGCCCTATAATTTTTACCAAAGACACAGCTATAAAATCTTACGTTAATGAGATAAAGCTTATTTAACCAACTACCACAGTAGAAAGCCCATAAGCTTAAGATTTCTGGGCACAGAGAAAAGATGAATGGAAATTGTCTGCCTCTTGGAATTTTCAGGCAGCAAACAGGTCAAAGGAGTTACATTGGTTGTCTACCAAAAAAAGAAAAATACATTTCTGGAGTAGCTCAGGGACTGGTGAAACCATTGGAAGGCACCCCAGACACAGGGCCTTCTCAGCGTTTAAGGGTGGAGCCAGTCTCCTGTATCTCAAAAGATGTTTCAAAAATCTGAATCTTCACCAACTCAGTTCCAGAACATGGAGTTGTTCCAGAAGCAGGGGGTAGGGCAATGCCCAAAACCGAGACAGTGGGGCTGCCATGCTCAAGTAGCAGAATATGACATGCTGGGACCCTGGAGCAGGATTGTCAGACAGATGGACTTGGAGAATGAGGATAACCAAAGTCAAGGGAGCAGAGTTATCATCTTACTGGGCCTGGAAGGTGGAGTTGAAGCTGAGGGGCCTCTACCTGGAATCCAGAGATCATGGCTAATAATCGGAAGCTGAAGCGCAGGCAGGGTCATTTCTGAGATGGTCTCAGAGAACCAAGAAATATTTTCAAGTCTGGAAAGCTAATGTAAACTGTTTTCCTGGACTTGCTTGGTGCCTACTATACCTGCTGCCCCTCCAATTTCTGCCATTTGTGATGAAATGCCTACCAATGTGCCTGTTCTACCAGTATACTCTGGAAATAGTTTGTAGTCTAGATTTCACAGGGTCACAGATGAAAAGGGAATTTGTCTCAGGATGAAATACACTTAAAGTCTCACCCATATTTGATTTAGATGCTTAAGTAGTTAAGATTTTGGACTTAAGAACTGATTTTCAGACTTTGGGATGCTGTGATGGGGTGAATGCATTTTAATATAGCAAGAACATGACAAAGGGTAAAATGTCATGGACTGCATTGTTGTTGCTGCTAAGTGTCACTGAGTGAATTCTGACTCACAAGCGACACTGCATATAAGGTTTCTGAAGAGCAGCTGGCAACCTTGAACCACCAACCTTGAGGTTCAAACCAACCCTGTAGCCCAGTGCATTAACCCGCGGACTGAATTATGTCCCCCCCAAAAGGAGGGGAGCAGCTGATTTTTCAGTCCAGGAGTAGAGGACCCTGGGATCATCAAGGGAGAAGAGCAGAGTGCGGGATCCTATCCTTCTAGAGAAGCAGTGACACCAGAGATTGAGGCAGAGATGATGACATGGAAAGATGGAGTGGCTGGGGACTCTAGACCCAGAGAGGGAGAGGGGCTGTGTGCTGATGACCGAGGGGCAGGCCTGCAGGGTATATACCCTTTGGTTGGTTGATGATGCATGGAGGGGACTATAATCATGGCAATGAAACGATATACAATAGGATGAATGTAAAGCTAATGTTCTCCCATGTAAACTATCACATAATTCAAAATAAAAACTTTTTTTAAAAACAAAAAAAGGGCACTTAACAACAACAATAACAACAACAAAGAGTTGGTTCCTCAAAGTCAATTGTTGTGCCGTTACTTTCGATTAAAATGTTTTGTTACAATGCTTAATCTTTAATAGTGTACCATGAAATACCATGTGAGGAATAAAAATGCTTAGTTGTTAAAATAGGGAGCTAGAGATAAAAGCCTACACAGCTCTGCAAGAAGGAAAGTCGGAGTCCTGTTGTGGCACTGTGGGTTAATGCGCGGGACTGCAAGGTCAGTTTGAACCACAAGGCTGGCGTGGCGGTTCAAGCTCACCAGTCACTCCTTGGAAACCCTATATGGGGTCACTATGAGTTGGAACTGACTCAACGGCATTTAACAATAAATGAGGAAGCTTCAAAAAGTTTGTGAAAAAAATTCCATTATCTTTTCATTCCATTTTCCACAAACTTTTAGAAGACTTCATATATAACAAAAACACAAAAATAATGCAAAACAAGTTAATTCACATCAGGAATTCCTTCTCTACCAGTTACCATAATCAGGAAACAGAAAACTGAAGGTTATCTTCTCATTGCTGGCTCTTTTCCAATCAACAGATTCAGTGATCAAGAAAACTGAGTTAATACACTAGTCTTACCTCCTTAATTAGAAGCTTAAAAACAGAAGGCACTTTCACAGTAATTTCATTTACTCCATAAAGCAATTTTCTATAAGAAAGTATAACAACAGTATTACAGCATGTTATATATTAACAGTATATTCTAGGAAAGCCATTGTAGTAGATAAAGCTCAAACCACAAGCTGCTTTTAGATCTGAAATTTAAACATTCACGTTTCTAAATACTTATCTTCTGCAATTCAAACTCTCTTCCTTCAGCATTCAAATTAACAGATGTCATCAATACTGGAGCATGGGACTGTACTGTTACGTTATTTAATTTTGATTCATACCTTTTTGTGTGAGTATTACAACTCCATAATACCCCTGTGAACCAAAATTTCTCCATACTGGAACACAGGAGTTCTCAACAATTTTGAATTGAAATCAATTTTTGCATGAAGCTAAATAAATCTGAGGAGTTCTGTACAATGTTTCTACTAACAATACTGTACTGATTATCTCAAAACATTGTATATTTTTTAGAAGAAAAAAAATGCTTATGTTGCTTAAATCCCTCCATAATCTTTAACTCCTGTGTTACAGTACTTTCTGACAGAGTAGGAGTCCTGATAAAACCTGTAAGATCAGCACTGGGCTGCTAACTGCAAAGGCAGCAGTTCAAACCCATCAGCTGCTCCTCAGAAACTCTATACAGGATTGCTTTCAGTGGGAACAGACTCTATGACACTTAACACCACCACCGCCAATATGATACAGTAGTTCTTGCCTTGTATGAACTGTAAGCCTGAATGAAAGGACCTCTGGTGTGGTGTTGGCGGTTAATGCGGTAAACTGCAACGTCGGTGTGGGCTGTTAAGGCCAGCAGTTCTAACTCACCAGCTGCTCCCTGGAAACCCTGTACAGGGTCACTATGATTCTGATCCCGACTCGATGGCACTTAGCAAAAACAACTCTTTGAAAACATGCTACAGAAGCACAAGAAAATTTCTGATTTAATTTGAAAATGTCAGTTATCTTTAAAGTGTTTAACATACTGGTATATTTTTATGCTTTAGCAAAGATTAACAGTATAAAAAGGCTAAGTTTCCCAAAGTACTAGTTTTCATCATAGTAAAATTCAGTTCATGCCTACAATTCCCGTATTTGAGAAAAATTTTTCAAAACTTTGCTATGTTATTTTATGTACCATCAAGAAAAATACACATGTCAATTGAAGAATGACACTCCATCAACTGTGTGACCCACACATTCCAATTTCACAAATGTTAAAAGTGGGAAAGTGTATGCCTTGGAATTAATAAAACATAGTATATTCCCAGGGTATCAACCTCAAAATATGAGCTCTCACATTTTTATAATTCTTAAACTGAAAAGCAGTCTTCCCCAAGTAATACACCAACAAGTTCTCAACTAGAAATACCGAAATATCCATTAATATGTGGAACTACATGGTAAAGGGCTACAGATATGACTCTATTAAGGAATTTTGATAACAGATCTAACTTTAGTTGCATAAAAATTACCTGTAGGCATGCATCCCCTTTGTCAGTCCTGCACTATGCTTTTCATAAATTGACGTACAAGAAACACCTTCATCCAGTCCCCTAAATAAATCCAAAGTTTTTACTTTAAACAAAGTTTAAAATATCCAAATTTCTTAATGCCTCACTTTTTCTATAGGCCTGATTTTTAAAGGGTGATTTCTTACAAATAGATAGCCTAAACAAAATCTTGGAAATGAGAAATTTTTAATTTAAGATCCAATTCCTAAAATAAACAATAATGAAAGATTTAACTCTCAAACATGGCAACTTCTAAGTTATCTAGTACATCTATCCCATGATGAGGTAGCTCTACACACTCAAGTTTATATTATTATCTTCTGAAGGTTTTGACAAAGCTGTAAGAACTAACAATCAAATGAATATAATTAAAAGTAAAGTACAACTAACTTGTTTTCACTTCATATAGTTTCCCTTTTTTACTTTTATAAGTTTCAAACTAAGAAATCCTTTTCATTACTTTTTTCTTTCATTTCCACAAAACATCAATGCAAATCTGTCCCTGATCTAACACAAAGATCATATAGCTAAGTCAGAAGTACCAATTTTAAGAGTCACAAGCAATGTATAAAATCTAGCAATTCTAACTAGAAATTCATTAATTACTACAAGCTTTTCCCAAAACTATCTCATATTTAATTTAACTGAGATCCTAGTCAAAGAGCACTTTGTACCATCATTTAAGTCCAGTCCTATTTCATTCTGAGGAAAGCTAAGCTTCATAAGTAAATTAGATACTTTTATTAATCCAGGTAACTAAAATTTTACAAAATTCTACTGCTAGCAAAGGCCACTCAGTAACTATGTTTGACTTATTTTTCCCACTGAGGTTGGTGACTTCACCAGAAGGTATCACAAACCAATTTCAAGTCAATTTTTATTATTTAAAGCAAAATAGTAGCTCCCCGGCAGTTTTCTTAAAAGTCAGGAATTCCTTGAACAGGAATGATTTTCAGAACTTGGCATGTGGAGATTCCCAGACCCATTCCAGAATATTTTCTTTAGTGTGTCTGAGAAGAATCCAGCCATGAATAGTTTAAATGTTCATAGGTGATTTTGTTTGTACTGCTTATGTTAAGAATGCCTCTGTCACTTCAAAGCCAATGTTCTTAATGATTTTAATCACTTTAAAAACAGCAATACACTAAATACTAATTAATTTAGTATATGTATAACTTAAACTCTCCACCACAAATTAATGAAGAAATTACTTCAATTTGTTTTACCCAAAAACCTGATGTATTTGAGAAGGTTCCATCTTTATTCACACAGCAAAGTTAAGTTTCTATTTGTTTATTACTTCATCCTTCAACTACAAATGGAGGAACTGCCAACAAATTTGGAGGCAATATTCAAATACACTGAGTTTTTTCAAACACAGGTGATAAGGTGTAATCAAAACTCATTCTAAGGTGAAATCTCAAACAGAAAAGAACTCAAAATTCAGAATAAAGCAACGTGGGGATCATGCTGCTTTTAACTTTTATGTAAATATTTGCCAAAATACAAGTTTCAGCTGGGATTTATTTTTTAAATGGTTAATGAATCTTCAGGGAGTTGCTAATCAATAACTAAATAAAGCCTATGTAGTAAAGACCTCTACAATTTTATATAATACTAAAGTGAACTCTTATATTTTAAACATTTAAGAAATTAATTATATAATCCAAACAGAAGAAAAACACTTACTTTAAGAAATCAAAATTATGAAGGGTATCATTCCAGAAATACTTTACACTATGATGGCTGAAGTAACGAATCTGTAGAGCATAAATGAATGTTACCTCAAAATGTATATCATCACTTGTTAAAAGTTACATTTACAAATACAAACATATCATTAACTAATTATAATTATAATTACATGTCTTTTATCTAGTAAAGTCTAAAGTGTAGTACTATATATGGTATACCTCAAAGAATAGCACCTATAAACACAAAATTATGGGATATGCATTCTAGTTTTTATAGAAACATTGATACGAAGAACACAATACCTGTTGTGATTGAGTCTGTGAATATTTGCTCATCTCATGCCGGTTCTCTTCGGTTGGAGTTTCAATTAAATGAACAGCATGACCATTTGAAACTTTATTAGCTAGAGATTTTGGACTTGAAAATGGATGGGTTTCCAGAGAAAGCAAGCGAATTTTTGCACAAAACCACATTCTGAATTCATCCTTAGAAAAAAAAAGGGAGAATGATAAAGAGTTCATTGTGTCTATTACACAATTTCATATTTTATATATATACTTTTTTTTGCATTTATCTTTCTTTTTTTCTTTAAGTTTTTATTACTGCTTGAGTGAAAGCTTACAGGGCAGATCATCAGTTTTACATTCAACAAATCATACAATTTATTTCATCAGAATGGTTACATTCCCCTCAATGTACCATCAGTTAACAGTAGTTCTCTCTATTCCCTTTAGCTCTTTTAAAAGAAAAACAAAAAACACTCAGGCATATATAATAATTTACACCACCAAAGGGCACCTTCTACAAGTCTGTCTCATGACCACCATCTCTTAGTGCCTCTCTTTCCATGAATCTAGAGTCCTCAGGTGCTCCCCCTCTCAATGTCCCCATCTCTGCCTCCATTTCTGGTATGGCTGCTTCTCTGGATAAGGTCCCACGTTCCGCTTGTACTCTTCTTCCTTGATGGTCCTAGGATCCTTTGTTTCTGGACTGTAAGATTAACTGCTCACCCATTTTTGTTACAAAACTTCTACCTTTACAATTAAGACAGTCGCAATAAGTCATGATAACAATTACTCACTACTGAATCTAAGAATCTTATCCCCATCTCTTTTAACCAGACCCATCTAGACAAGATAACAACTATTCAGTGGGGACTCTTTCTTTCCATCATTTTTTCGAATGACTTCCAGTTGATGCTGCCATGTACGTCAATCTCTGGTTGTTGTCTGTTCTTGTTGGTTCTCTGTCCACAGAACTCGCTTTAGGATGTTTTTCATCACAGGGTTGGCTTTGGCAAAATCCCTTAGCTCCTGTTTATCCTGGAATGTTTTGATTACAACATATTTGATTGACAGCTTTGCTGGTAGAGGATTCTTGGTTGGCAGTATTTTTCTTTCAGGGATTTATATATGTCTCCCCATTGCCTTCTTGCCTGCATGGTTTCTGTTCAGAAATCCGAGCCTAGTCTGATTTGCTTGCCTTTCTATGTTACACTTCTCTTTTCCCTAGCTGACTTCAGGATTTTGTCCTTATCTTTGAGTTTGGAGAGCTTGATTATTATATGTCTTTTAGGGTTTATCCTTCCTGGGATTCGTTGAGCTTCCTGGATGCCTATCTCTTCACTTTTCAGGATGTTAGGGAAATTTTCTTCCAGAAGTTCTTCAACTATCTCCTCTGTGAACTTCTGTGATTCTTCCTGTTCTGGAATGCCAATAATTCTTATGTTATTCCTCTTCATGTTTTACAACATGAATCTTAGGCCTTCTTCAGGTTTTTTTTTATCCTTTTTTCCTCTTTGCTCTTCTATCTTAGTGGTATTGAGAAATTTATCTTCAAGCTCACTAGTTCTAGCAACCATCTTTTCAATTCTACTCCTTTGCCCTTTCAGTGAATTGTACATTTCTGATATTCTATTATTAATCGTTTGGACCCTTTCTGTAGGTTCAGAATTGTTTCCAATGCTATATCTATTTTATTTGATTGTTCCTGTAGCACTTTCCTGACTTCTTCTTTATTTTTCTCAACTCCATTGTAAAGTGTCTTGATACATTTTATCATTTTTCTGAATCCCTTCTTAGGCATTTCCAAAGCCTGCCCATCTTCCAGTATGGAGTATAGGTCTACCTCCAGCTCATTTGCCTCAGTCACTTTATCTTGTTTCTGGACATGTGCTGATGATATGGTCATCTGTTTCTGTTTTTTGGGCATGTTCAGGAGTTATCTGTGGCCTTAATACTTACATGTATTTTGGCATTTTTATGTTTTCTGATTGTCTCTAGGTAGCTGTAATTAGAAGGGCTTCCCTTTTCACTCTTCTTCCTGAGAAATTTCAAGATGCCACTGTTGGTTGTTATGACATAACTCAGGATTTAATTTTTGGCCTGTTTCCTTTTTAGTCTGCCTGTACTGCTCCACAACCCCCTGTTCAGGCCTTTTTCCTAGAGATAAACAGTTCAGGGTTGGCTGTGGACGTTTTGCGCTGCCGTTTGGTTTTAAGTGGACGCTGTCCCTTTAAATTTTGAGGCGATCTGTGTGCATGCATAATAGAACCCTCCTGGGGTGGGAGTGGGGTTTCTGTTAACTCAGACACCCCCTATAGTCACCAGAATGGAGGTATGCAGACAGTGGGAGGTCAATAAACAGATACAAAGAAGAGTGTCCACACTTTTTTCTCTGCAGTTCTGTCAGGCGTCCGTGGCAGCTCTGATCCTTCCCCTGTTCGGTCTCACCCAAAATGGCTGCTCAGGGAGTAGTTGAGCGCCTTGGTTTTGAAAGCACCCGATTTCTTGCTTCTGCTACAAATTCCACAAATTCCACTGGCTGTAAGTGCCTTCCAATTTTCCAAATATTCCTTTAGAAGTGGTTCAGAGTTCTGGGACCATCCCCTGAGCCTGCTTGGTCCAGTATTCTGTGTTGTTCTGACAGATCTCCTCACTGCACTCCCACCTGATCCGCCATCTTGTTTGTTCTCCCAATTTCCTATATTTTTGCTTAATTCTTTGCACAATACTATTTGCTCCTATCTATTTTGGAAAATATCACTTCCTACTAAGTAGAGAATCACTTCATGAAGATGTATAAATTCAAGCAAGACAAGCTCTCTACTGCCACCACTGACATACTTCATTGATACACACATCAACATTCTATGAAAGATCATGAGTAATCCCTTAATTTACATTCTAGTTACTGAAACTAGGTATTGAAACCTCCTACAGTGTGCTTTAATTAGGATTAAAAAACAAAAATAATTGGGATGTAGCATGACACAGTAGAAAGGCCTAGTAAATGAAAAAACTGGGATATAGTACTAACTGTCCAGTGACCCTCACAGACAAACATCTAATTTCTTAGGGTTTCAAAAGCTATAAAAGGAAGGAGGGGATCTGGTCATCATCAGCTCTACTCACACTCACTTTAAACACTCAAAATTCATTGAGGTAAAGTATCAAAATGATAAAGAACTCAGACACAGAGTAGATATACAGATGTTTTAGAAATGTTACAATTAGAAGTCATCGTTACATCCTTAGACCCTCATTATATTTTATATGTATTTGTTTCCTTCATAGGTTACTTTGAACATAGCATCTTCAAATAATCTGCTAAAAGTAAATGTGTAGACTTACAGTAGTCCTCAGCAACACCACTTCACAGTCTTTAATTGCAGCTCGAATACAAGTTGCTTTCACCCGCCACTCAGGCATCCAATAGAGAAGGAGGAGAAGAAAGCCACCAGTGCAAACCACTCCTAGTGAGACGAAGGCAAGCTTCCAGCGACTCACGTTATAGCCATAAACTTCCTGGATGGATACAGATAGTGATCACATGATTAGATAGAACAGGTCAAAAAGATTCACTGCTTTTCAGACAAGTATTACTTAATAAATATGGCCTCTTTTTGTCTTGTCCTATAAACTGCAAATATTTTCTCAGTCCATAATTTATCTTTAAACTTTGCTTCTGGTAAAAGTAAATGTCAGTAAGACCATAGGTGGAACCCTGAACCCCATCCAGAATCTTCTGAGTTTGGAAATTCCACTTGAAAGGACAAGCAGATCAGCCTGGAGCAGCTAGAAGAACAGAAGATACTTGTTGAAAGAATGACTGACAGGAAAAATAAAAACCAATAATGGCAGTCCAACTGACTACTACAAGAACAAGCAAGTTGCTCGCCCAGGAGACATCAAGGCAAGTGACCTGGTCCCCTCAGGGCAAATCCCTTTCCAAGACTAAGACTCAATGGGAATATACAAGCAGACATGTACTCAGACATAAGGGGAAGTGCGGGACAAACAGCAATGAAGCTGTGAGCTAAGTCTGACCACGTTCAATAGACTCCTGTGAACCCGGCTGGAGAC